TTCTGTATCATATCAAATCATATCTAAAATCATATCAGAATCATTATAGATTCATTATACAGTTTGATCCTAGAAGATAATGCCACTTGGATCCCGTACGCATAGGGCCCTATTGATGCCTACGTGACTTTGTGCATGATCTCTTATGGATCCAGAAACTTCTAGAAGGATTTTATAATTAAAAAATTATTGGAACATTGATTCAATATCCAGTAGGGATAAAAATCGGATCCTTAATAAGAATCAGTGGTACTTATAAGCTTTATATCCTATATCAAATTATATTATAATTACAGCTTATCTCAATCATAAGTCTAGACTGTAAAAATAATCAATCAATATTCATAGAAGACTTCCGTGCTCGGGGAGCATGGGAAGGGATCTGGGTGAGAAGCGTCCACGAGAGCCGAGCAGGACCACGCGTTTGTTGACAACGGTGAACACATGTGACGGATCCTTAGCGAACATTACCAGCTCAAGGACACCTTATCTAATATCTTTATCACCAGTGAACACTCTCTAGAATTGGGGGAGTACCTGGACAATATCTACAAGGAAAATCCTAGAACATTTATATAAAATAGGAGTGTATAGTGGAGCTCATAGTGACACGGTTTCCACCACCTTCATTCCTAATCATCAGCAACTATCATTCTTCTGCAACTGCAGGGTCAATCACGTAGCAACGCTACCAGTTCATCATACAGCAATGCTGTGACAAAATATCGTGCCTAAACTCAACAAGAGAGAGTTAATCAGTCTGGCTCCTTGTCAGACAGGCACCCCGACTGGCAGAGAAGTATATTGAAGGTTATTTTGGTATATGATTGGTCAATTGTATGCTTGTGTGACTTTAATATCCTATAAATCTGTCTGTTGGTTAAAAAGCGAGGCTAAGCCTCACATTTCAGTAAGTTTATTAATATTGTTGAAGAGCAGCAGGTCCTTGTCCAGGCACTAAACCTCATGAGTGTCCAGTTGTCAGAAAAAGATTCAGTCGCAATGCGTAAATAAAGTCTCGTGAGTGCCCATTGTGCGGAAAAGGATTCAGTCAAGCTGACTACATAATCATATAAATTGAATATGTCTGCATATATATTTGAATATATAAATAAAGTTAACAATTGCTTGCTTAGTTAATTTATAAATTATCATACAAGTTTATTTAATTGAATAATATCTAGTACTTAGTTAAGTGCTTAGACTACATTTAAAGTCATTTATTATACCTTTGCAATTTAATTTGTTTATAGTATAAGAACCTAATGGCTGTTAGTTATGGTGCTAGGTTAGACTATGTATGTTTAAATCCCTGATTTAAACAGAGCCAGTGTTCAGTCATATACAGTAACTGAATTTATCAAATCTTATCCTTGTATAATATACACTGTCCTATGCTTACAAAACAAGTCACAACCAAAAGGCTTAACAATCCCTGGCTTACAAATGGAATACTTAAATCTATTAATAAAAAACATGACCTTGAGAAAAAGTATAGGTTAGGAATTGTCTCCAAAGAATTCTCAAAGAATTACTCATTATTGCTATCTAAGATAATTAGACAAGCCAAAACTAAATACTACGAAGATAAATTTACCCAAATAAAGAGCAACATTAAACAAACATGGAGAACAATTTCACAAATATTGGGATCAAAGAAGTCTTTAAATAACAAACCGACTCTCCTGTCTAATAACGATGGTCAGCTTTCAGCCTCTGATTCTGCTATTGAGTTCAATAGGTTCTTCTCTTCCATTGGTTCATCCCTTGCTAATGATATTACATCTTCCAGTACTGACATTAAGGACTATCTTACAGGGAACTATCCCCAGTCTCTGTACCTAAAGCCTATTAATTCCATTGACGTCAATGAGATAATCCTTTCCCTTAAAACCAAGTCTGGTGCCCTTGAGGAGATACCAACTTTAATCTACAAAAAAGCCTCCAGATCTTTAGCCCCTGCTATTGCTTTGCTCTTCAACAAGTCACTTGAACTCCAAACCTTTCCAGATATTCTAAAAAAAGCGAGAGTAACGCCTGTCCACAAATGTGGTGATCTCACAGATGTTAACAACTACAGACCTATATCAATCCTGCCAAACTTGTCAAAAATTGTTGAAAAACTAATCTATAAGCAGCTTTACTCATATCTAGCCAAACTCAATATACTTAGCCCTTGCCAATATGGCTACAGGCCCAAAAAAAGCACTAACGATGCACTTATTAGTATGCTTAACTCGATTAATACAGCTCTTGATAAAAATGAGTTCCCTGTTGGGTTATTTGTGGACCTGCGTAAAGCTTTCGATACTGTCAACCACCAAAACCTTCTTCTTAAATTACATCATTATGGTGTCAGAGGACACTCCCTACAATACCTCAAATCCTACCTTACTGACAGGCTCCAATGTGTTTCTGTGAATAATACAATTTCTCCCACCCTACCCATCAACATTGGTGTTCCCCAGGGCAGCATACTTGGCCCTCTCCTCTTTCTCATCTACATTAATGACCTTCCAAATGCCTCCCAACACCTCAAACCAATCCTATTTGCTGACGACACAACCTTCATTTACTCCAGTCCTGATCCCCTTGCTCTAAATGCCACAGTAAATACTGAGCTAAATAAAGTCCATCTGTGGCTAACTGCCAACAAACTCACCCTTAACATTGACAAAACTTTCTATATTCTGTTTGGCAATAAATCCTCTAATCAAATAAATCTCAAAATAAACAATACCCAAATTTGTAACAAATTAGATGGCAAATTCCTTGGCATTCTCAATGACCACAAGCTGAATTTCCAGGGACACATTCTAAACATATCAAAAAAAGTTTCAAAAACTGTGGGCATTCTTTCTAAGATCAGATATTATGTACCACGCCCTGCCCTGGTGACTCTCTATTACTCCCTTATCTATCCATATCTCAACTATGGTATTTGTGCTTGGGGCTCTACTACCCAAAATCACTTACGTCCTCTAATTACTCAACACAAAGCTGCTATTAGGACAATATCCAATTCTGGCCCCAGACATCACTCGGTACCCCTACTCAAATCCCTGAATATGTTAGACATTAAGTCACTGCACAATCTCTCATGTGTATTATACATATATAAAACGCTAAACTGTAATGCCAATCCTGATCTCAAAAGCTTCATAGAAGGTTGTAACAGAACCCATGAGCACCACACCAGAAATAAATACAGTTTTGATATTCCTAGAGTACGACTTAATCAAACCAGAAATGCTCTACAAATCAAGGGGCCCAGAATGTGGAATGACCTTCCCAACCATGTTAAAGACAGTACCTCTCTCAACCAGTTTAAGTTAAAAACGAAGCTATACCTAATAAATTCCCTGTAACCTACCTTACCCCTCTATTGTCAACCCATGTATGTTTTTTGTTTTTTTTTGTTTTTCAAATCAACGCTGTTTTAATGTAATTTTCTGTAATAATTTGTAATTGTATTTGTGCTGTTTTTTCAACAATGTTCCCCCCTCTTTTACCCCTATTTTTATTTGTACTCAACGCATATTTTTCTTTTTACCCATTAGTTTTAAGCTTTAGTCAGTAGTGTTTTCTCCTGCCCGAAACGCTTTGCGTAATAGTGGCTTTAGGCATTGTATGTACTAGCTCTATCTATAAAGCCAACAAACTTTGTAAAATCTCTTTATGTATGTACCTTTGCCTAAATAAAAATTATTATTATTATTATTATTATTATTATTATTATTATTATTATTATTATTATTATACAAGCTGATGTGAGATCCCTGTCTACAGGTGGACTGGAACTTCTATCAACTAATTCATCCACCCCACCTGTCCCTTACAGCCCACAATCTATCATTAGGAAAAGAGGAGCCAGGATTTACGACCCTAGCTAGAGATTCTAGGAATTAATTTGCAGACAGTAATTTTTTAATTTAGTTCAGACCAAGTCTCTAGTAGTCTCCTCTTATATCAATCCCAGCAGATTTTTCCCACAGCTACTGCTGTTGCCCAGGCTACTGTTAATTCTTCTGCTGCTGCCCTGGCTACTTTTATTGCTTCTGCTGGTTCCTTGGCTACTGGTATTCCTTCCGCTGCTGCCCTGGCTACTGTTATTGCTTCTGCTGCTGCCATGGCTACTGTTATTGCTTCTGCTGCTGCCCTGACTACTGTTATTGCTTCCGCTACTGCCCTGGCTACTGTTTTTGCTTCTGCTGATGCCCTGCATGGCTACTGATATTGCTTCCGCTGCTGCCCTAGCAACTGTTATTGTTACTAATGCTGCTGCCCTGGCTAGTATTATTGCTCCTGCTGCTGCCCTGGCTACTGTTATTGTTTCCGCTGCTGCCCTGGTTACAGTTATTGCTTCTGCTGCTGCCCTGGTTACAGTTATTGCTTCTGCTGCTGCCCTGGCTTCTGTTATTGCTTCTCCTGCTGCCCTGGCTACTGTTATTGCTTCTGCTGCTGCCCTGGCTACTGTTAATTCTTCTGCTGCTGCCCTGGCTACTTTTATTGCTTCTGCTGTTCCCTGGCTACTGGTATTGCTTCCGCTGCTGCTCTGACTACTATTATTGCTTCTGCTGCTCTCCTGGCTACTGTTATTGCTTCTGCTTTTGCTGTGGCTACTGTTATTGCTTTTGCTGTTGCCCTGGCTTCTGTTATTGCTTTTGCTGCTGCCCTGGCTACTGTTATTGCTTCCGTTCCTGCCCTTGAGGTTATCTTGAGATAATTTCGGGGCTTTAGTGTCCCCGCGGCCCGGTCCTCGACCAGGCCTCCACCCCCAGGAAGCAGCCCGTGACAGCTGACTAGCACCCAGGTACCTATTTACTGCTAGGTAACAGGGGCATAGGGTGAAAGAAACTCTGCCCATAGTTTCTCGCCTGCGCCCGGGATCGAACCCGGGACCACAGGATCACAAGTCCAGTGTGCTGTCCGTTCAGCCGACTGGCTCCCTATTATTGCTTCCATTGCTGCCCTGACTACTGTTATTGCTTTTGCTTCAGCCCTGGCTACTATTATTGCTTCTGCTTCTGCCCTGGCTACTGTTATTGCTTCTTCTGATGCCCGGGCTACTGGTATTGCTTACGCTGCAGCCCTGGCTACTGTTATTGCTTCTGCTGCTGCAATGGCGACTGTTATTCCTACTGCTGCTGCCCTGACTACTGTTATTGCTTCCGCTGCTGCCATGGCTACTGTTATTGCTTCTGCTGCTGCCCTAGCTACTGTTATTGTTTTCTCTGCGGCTCTTGCTACTGTTATTGCTTATGCTGCTGCCCCGGCTACTGTTATTGCTTCTGCTTCTGCTCTGGCTTCTGTTATTGCTTCTGCTGCTAATCTGGCTACTATTATTGCTACTGCTGCTGCCCTGGCTACTGTTACTGCTCCTCCTGCCGCTGCCCGGGCTACTGCTATTGCTGCTTCCCTGGCTACTGTTATTCCTTCTTCTGTTGTCCAAGCTACTGTTGTTGCTTCTGCTGCTGCCCTGGCTACTGGTATTGCTTCTGCTTCTTGCTGGGCTACTGGTATTGCTTTCCGCTGCTGCCCTAGCTACTGTTATTGCTTCTGCTGCTGCCCTAGCTTCTGTTACTGCTTTCTCCGCTGCTCTGGCTACTATTATTTCTTCTGCTGCTGCCTTGGATACTGTTACTGCTTCTGCTTCTGCCCGGGCTACTGTTATTACTTTCGCTGCTTCCCTGGCTACTGTTATTCCTTCTTCTGCTGCCCTTGCTACTGTTATTGCTACTGCTGCTGCCCTGGCTACTGTTATTGCTTCTGCTTCTGCCTGGGCTACTGTTATTATTTCCGCTGGTGCCCTGGTTACAGTTGTTGCTTCTGCTGCTGCCCTGGCTACTGTTATTGCTTCTGCTGCTGCCTTGGCTTCTGGTATTGCTTCTGCTGCTGCCCTGGCTACTGTTCTTGCTTCCACTGCAGCCCTGGCAACTGTTATTGTTACTACTGCTGCTGCCCTGGCTACTTGTATTGCTTCTGCTTCTGCCCTGGCTACTGTTATTGCTTCCACTGCTGCCCTGGCAACTGTTATTGTTACTACTGTTGCTGACCTGGCTACTGGTATTGTTTCCGCTGCAGCCCTGGCTACTGTTATTGCTTCTGCTGCTGCCCTGGCTACTGTTATTGCTTCTGCTGCTGCCCTGGCTACTGTTATTGCTTCTGCTGCTGCCCTGGCTACTGGAATTGCTTCTGCTGCTGCCCGGGCTACTGTTATTGCTTCCGCTGCTTCCCTGGCCACTGTTATTGCTTCTGCTGCTGCTCTGGCTACTGTTATTGTTTCCACTGCTGCCCTGGCTACTGTTATTGCTTCTCCTGCTGCCCTGGCTACTGTTATTGCTTCTGCTGCTGCCCTGGTTACTGTTATTGCTTCTGCTGCTTCCCGGGCTACTGGTATTGCTTCTGCTGCGGCCCTGGCTACTGTTATTGCTTCCTCTGCTTCCCTGGCTACTATCATTGCTTCTGCTGCTGCCCTGGCTACTGTTATTGCTTCTGCTGCTGCCCTGGCTACTGTTATTGCTTCTGTTGATGCACGGGCTACTGGTATTGCTTCCGCTGCTGCCCGGGCTAGTGTTATTGCTTCTGCTGCTGCAATGGCTACTGTTATTGCTACTGCTGCTTCCCTGATTACTGTTATTGCTTCTGCAGCTGCCCTGGCTACTGTTATTGCTCTTTCTGCGGCTCTAGCTACTATTATTGCTTCTGCTTCTGCCCTGGCTACTGCTATTGCTTCTGGTTCTGCTCTGGCTACTGTTATTGCTTCTGCTTATGCCCTGGCTTCTGTATTGCTTCTGCTGCTGCAATGGTTTCTGTATTGCTTCTACTGCTGCAATGACTACTGTTATTGCTTCTGCTTCAACCATGGCTACTGTTATTGCTATTGCTTCTGCCCTGACCACTGTTATTGCTTCTGCTGCGGCTCTGGCTACTGGTATTGCTTCTGCTGCTGCCCTGGCTACTGTTGTTGCTAGTGCTGATGCCCTAGCTACTATTATTGCTTTCGCTGCTACCCTGGCAACTGTTATTGTTACTACTGATGCTGCCCTAGCTACTGTTTTGCTTCTGCAGCTGCCTTGGCTACTGTTATTGCTTCTGCTCCTGCTCTGGCTACCGTTATTTCTTCTGCTGCTGCCCTGGCTACTGTTCTTGCTTCTGCTGCTGCCCTGTCTACTGGTATTGCTTCTGCTTCTGCTCTGGCTACTGTTATTGCTTCTGCTGTTACCCTGGCTTCTGTTATTGCTTCTGCTGCTGCCTTGGCTACTGTTATTCCTTCCGCTGCTGCCCTGGCTACTGTTATTGCTTCTTTTGCTGCCCTGGCTTATGTTATTGCTTCTGCTCTTGCCCTGGCTACTGTTATTGCTTCTGCTGCTGCCCTGGCTACTGGTATTGCTTCTGCTGCTGCTCAGGCTGCTGTTATTGCTTCTGCTGCTTTCCTGGCTACTATTATTGCTTCTGCTGCTGCCCTGGCTACTGTTATTGCTTCTGCTTCTGCTCTGGCTACTGTTATTGCTTCTTCTGTTGCCCTGGCTTCTGTTATTGCTTCTGCTGCTGCCTTGGCTACTGTTATTCCTTCCGCTGCTGCCCTAGCTACTGTTTTGCTTCTGCTGCTGCCTTGGCTACTGTTATTGCTTCTGCTCCTGCTCTGGCTACCGTTATTTCTTCTGCTGCTGCCCTGGCTACTGTTATTGTTTCCGTTGCTGCCCTGGCTAATGTTATTGCTTCTGCTCTTGCCCTGGCTACTGTTAAAGAGCCAGATTTTCGAAAAGCTGATTTTAATAGCCTAAGAAATTTTTTGGGTCAAATTGATTGGAAAGTCTTGGGTATGGGGTGTGGGCCGGTCTTGGAGCGAGACATGAACCCAGCGATAGGTGACGTAAATGGGGATTTCGATGTGGATTCAATATATAACTTATTTAGGAATATTCTAAACAAAGCTCAGGAACGTAGTATACCATTCAAATTGAATAGATCGAATACTAATGACCCAAAGTGGATAACAAAGAATTTGAAGAACCTTATAGGTAAAAAGAGAGCTTGGTACAAAAGGATTAAAAATGGGGAGGTCACTTTAGAACAGGAATTCGTACAACTGGTTAGAAAGGTTAAAAAAGAGATAAGGAAAGCAAAAAAAAACTATGAAGTTCGCATAGCAAGGCAAGCAAAGACAAATCCTAAAGGTTTTTTTCAGTTATATCCTACTAAGACTAGGGAAAGGATAGGTCCATTAAAAACTGAGACAGGTCAAATAACAGATAGTGATGAAGAGATGAGTAGTATTTTTAATAAATATTTTGTATCTGTATTTACTAAAGAGGAACTTAACAATATGCCTTCAGCCGAACAAGGCTATGTGGGTGGGGATGAGGACAGGTTGACGAGTTTAGCAGTTACCAGGGAGGATGTTCTTAAACAAATAGTAAAACTCAAACCAAACAAATCCCCAGGGCCGGATGAAGTGTTTGCCAGGGTGCTTAGAGAATGCAAAGAGGAGCTTTGTGACCCACTGTCAACCATATTTAATAAATCAATAGAGTCAGGCAGAGTGCCAGAGTTTTGGAAAGTTGCTAATGTGATACCAGTTTTTAAGAAAGGAGATAGATCACGTGCGTCTAACTATCGACCAATTAGCCTAACGTCTATTGTGGGAAAGTTACTCGAATCTATAATAGCAAATAAAATTCGTCTTCATCTTGAAAAACATAAATTAATAATTGAGTCGCAACATGGTTTTATAAATGGCCGTTCATGTTTAACAAATTTGTTATCTTTTTATTCTAGCATAGTTGAGGCAGTTGATAGTGGTAAGGATTGCGATGTTGTGTACCTTGACTTTAGCAAAGCTTTTGATACAGTGCCACATGAAAGACTGATTAAAAAGATAGAATCTCATGGTATTGGGGGTGCTATATTAAGCTGGAATAGGGCATGGATATACCAAAGGAAACAGAGAGTTAGTATAAATGGAATCAAGTCAGAGTGGGAAAATGTTGTAAGTGGAGTGCCTCAAGGCTCTGTCCTGGGATCTCTGTTGTTTATAATATATATAAATGATTTAGATTCAGGTTTGAGTAGCAACATTTGCAAATTTGCCGATGATACGAAAATCGGTAGGGAAATTAATTCGGAGGAGGACTCACTATCACTTCAAGTTGATACAGATAGGGTTTTGAAATGGTCAAAGGATTGGCAGATGCAGTTTAATGCTGATAAATGTAAAGTTCTGAGGTTAGGTAATGATGATAGAGTTACAAGATACGAGCTAGATGGTGTTGAGATTGCGAAGTCGTTTTGCGAAAGGGATCTGGGAGTTATGATTAGTAAGAATTTAAAACAAAAAAAAAGACCTACTACATCCTATTTGGAAGCAAATCTACAAATGCAATTCAGCTTCAGATTGACAATGTAAACATTAGCAATAAAAATGATGGAAAGTTTCTTGGCATATTCCTAGACAAGAGACTCAACTTCAGTACCCACATACAACACATAACTAAGAAAGTCTCTAAAACAGTTGGTATACTCTCCAAAATCAGATATTATGTTCCTAACTCTGCTCTCATCTCTCTATATTATGCACTAATCTATCCCTATCTCAACTATGGTATCTGTGCATGGGGTTCAACCACTGCAAACCACCTCAAGTCCATCATCACCCAGCAAAAATCTGCTATCAGAATAATATCAAATTCTGCTTTCAGACAACACACAGCCCCCTTGTTTAACTCCCTAAACATGCTAAACATAATCTCACTCCACAAATTCTCTTGTGTCAACTACATTTACAAAACCCTGTTCTTAAATGCAAATCCTTGTCTGAAACTCTTCCTGGACAGATGTAATAGGACCCACTATCACCACACCAGAAATAAATATCTCTTCGATATCCCCAGAGTTAAACTTAATTTGTGTAAACACTCTATGCAAATAAAGGGACCCAGTTTATGGAACTCACTCCCTACTGAATTGAAAAGCTGTCCAACTTTTACATCATTCAAAATCAATACTAAAAAGTACCTAATTTCATCTTCATAGTTTTTCTCTTTTTGCCTTAAAATTGCACTGTATCTATTGCTACCCAATCTCCCAACCTTTTTGTTCCCATTTGAACATCTTTACTATTGAGATCATTGCTGTTTTCTTATATGTGCTGCCATTCTATTGTATGGTGTTTATAAATCTTGTTTATCTGTATCTTTTGCTACCCAGTCTCCCAATCTTTATGTACCCATTCTGAACATCTTTACCATTGTGATCATTGCTGTCTTATATGTGCTGTCAATCTGCTGTATGGTGTCTATTAACCTTGTTTAAATTACTAATCAAGCTGTCAATGTAATCAATCAGAGCTTAATATAACAATGTGCTTTAATATACTTACTTATCTCTCTCATCTCATTTTTCTCTTGTAATGTATCTTTCATTTATCAATTCTGATTGAAATTACCTACTTAAAATTATCTGCTAGATTAAGGACCTGCCCGAAACGCTGCGTGTACTAGTGGCTTTACAAGAATGTAATTACTGTACTATCCAATGTATTCTCACAAACCCAATGTACCTTCTTGTATATATATAAATAAAATAAAATAAAAAATAAAAGGATCAATGCATAAATGTTCGTAAAAAGGCAAATCGGACACTTGGATTTATTAATCGCAGCGTTAGTAACAAAACACCTGGTGTCGTTCTCAAGCTATATCTTGCTCTAGTTAGGCCCCATTTAGATTATGCAGTTCAGTTTTGGTCGCCATATTATAGAATGGATATAAATTCACTTGAACGTGTCCAGCGAAGGATGACTAAGTTAATTCCCCAAATTAGAAATCTTTCATATGAAGAAAGATTAACAAAGCTTAAGTTGCATTCACTGGAAAGGCGAAGAGTTAGGGGTGACATGATAGAGGTTTACAAGTGGGTGAATGGACATAACAAAGGGGATATTAATAGGGTATTAAAAGTATCAACACAAGACAGAATACGAAACAATGGGTATAAATTGGATAAGTTTAGATTTAGGAAAGACTTGGGTAAATACTGGTTCAGTAACAGGGTTGTTGATTTGTGGAACCAATTACCGCGTAACGTGCTGGAGGTGGGGTCCCTCGATTGTTTCAAGCGTGGGTTGGACAATTATATGAGTGGGATTGGGTGGTTATAAATAGCAGCTGCCTCGTATGGGCCAATAGGCCTTCTGCAGTTGCCTTTGTTCTTATGTTATGTTCTTATGTTCAGCTGCTGCCCTGGCTAATGTTATTGCTTCTGCTGCTGTCCAGGCTACTGTTATTGCTAGTGCCGATGCCCTGGCTACTGTTATTGCTTCCGCTGCTGCTCTGGCAACTGTTAAGGTTACTACTGCTGCTTTCCTGGCTACTGTTATTGCTTTCTTTGCTGCTCTGGCAACTATTATTACTTCTGCTGCTGCCCTGGCTACTGTTATTGCTTCTGCTGCTACTCTGGCTACCATTATTGCTTCTGCTGCTTCCCTAAGAACTGTTATTGTTTCCGCTGCTGCCCTGGCTACTGGTATTGCTTCTGCATCTGCCGTGGCTACTGTTATTGCTTCTGCTGCTGCCCTGGCTACTGTTATTGCTTCTGCAGCTGCCCTGGCTACTGTTATTGCTTCTGCTGCTGCCCTGGTTACTGGTATTGCTTCTGCTGCTTCCCTGGCTACTGGTATTGCTTCTGCTGCTGCCCTGGCTACTGGTATTGCTTCTGCTGCTGCCCTGGCTACTGGTATTGCTTCTGCTGCTGACCTGGCTACTGTTATTGCTTCCGCTACTGCCCTGGCAAATGTTATTGCTTCCGCTGTTGCCCTGTCTACTGTTTTTGCTTCTGCTGCTGCTTTGTGCACTGTTAATGCTTAACCTGCGGCTCTGGCTACTATTATTGCTTCTGCTGGTGCCCTGGCTTCTGTTATTGCTTCGGCTGCTGCTTTGGCCAATGTTATAGTTTCTGCCGCTGCCCTGGCTACTGTTATTGCTGCTGCTGCAACCCGGGCAACTTTTATTGCTTCTGTTGCTGCCTGGCTACTGTTATTGCTTCTGCTGCTGCTATGGCTACTGTTATAGCTACTGCTTCTGCCATGGATACCGTTATTGCTTCTGCTGCTGCCCTGGTCACTGTTATTGCTTCTGCTGCTTCCCTGGCTACTGTTATTGCCTCCGCTGCTGCCCTGGCTACTGTTATTGCTTCTGCTGCTGCCCTGACTACTGTTATTACCTCCTCTGCTGCCCTGGCTACTGTTATTGCTTCTGCTGCTGCAATGCCTACTGTTATTGCTACTGCTGCTGCCTTGATTAGGGTTATTGCTTCCGCTGCTGCCCTGGCTACTGTTATTGCTTCTGCTGCTGTCCTGGCTACTGTTATTGCTTCTGCTGCTTCCTTGGCAACTCTTATTGCTTCTGCTGCTGCCCAGGCTACTGTTATTGCTAGTGCTGATGCCATGGCTACTGTTATTGCTTCCGCTGCTGCCCTGGCAACTGTTATTGTTACTACTGTTGCTTCTCTAGCTACTGTTATTGCTTCTGCTGCTGCTCTGGCTACCATTTTTGCTTCTGTTGCTGCCCTAAGAACTGTTATTGTTTCCGCTGCTGCCCTGGCTACTGGTGTTGCTTCTGCTTCTGCTCTGGCTACAGTTATTGCTTCTGCTGCTGCCCTGGCTACTGATATTGCTTCTGCTGCTGCCCTGGCTACTGGTATTGCTTCTGCTGCTGACCTGGCTACTGTTATTGCTTCTGCTGCTGCCCTGGCTACTGGTATTGCTTTTGCTGCTGCAATGGTTACTGTTATTTCTACTGCTGCTGCCCAGACTACTGTTATTGCTTCCGCTGCTGCCCTGGCTACAGTTATTGCTTCTGCTGCTGCCCTGGCTACTGTTATTGCTTTCTCTGCGGCTCTGGCTACAATTATTGCTTCTGCTCGTGCCCTGGCTTCTGTTATTGCTTCTGCTGCTGGCCTGGCTACTGTTATTGCGGCTGCTGCAACCGGGGCTACCGTTATTGTTTCTGCTGCTGCCTGGCTACTGTTATTGCTTCTGCTGCTGCTATGGCTACTGTTATAGCTACTGCTTCTGTCATGAATACTGTTATTGCTTCTGCTGCTCCCCTGGCTACTGTTATTGCTTCTGTTTTCTGGCTGCTGTTATTGCCTCCGCTGCTGCCCTGGCTACTGTTATTGCTTCTGCTGATGTCATAGCTACTGTTATTGCTAATTCTGCTGCCCTGACTACTGTTATTGCTTCCGCTGCTGCCCTGGCTACTGGTATTGCTTCCGCTGCTGTCCTGGCTACTGCTATTGCTTCCGCTGCTGCCCTGGCTATCGTTATTGCTTCCGCTGCTGCCAGGTAACTGTTATTGTTACTACTGCTGCTGCCCTGGATGCTGTTATTGCTTCTGCTGCTGGCCAGGATACTGTTATTATTTCACCTGCTGCCTGGCTACTGTTATTGCTTCTGCTGCTGACCTGGCTACTGTTATTGCTTCTGCTGCTGACCTGGCTACTGTTATTGCTTCTGCTTCTGCCCTGGCTACTGTTATTGCTTCTGCTTCTGCCCTGGCTACTGTTATTGCTTCTGCTGCTGCCCTGGCTAGTGTTATTGCTTCTGCTGCTGCCCGGGTTACTGGTATTACTTTCTCTGCTGCCCTGGCTACTGTTATTGGTTCTGCTGCTGCCATTGCTACTGTTATTGCTACTGCTGCTGCCCGGACTACTGATATTGCTTCCTCTGCTACCCTGGCTACTGTTATTGCTTCTGCAGCTGCCCTGGCTACTGTTATTACTTTCTCTGCTGCTCTGGCTACTATTATTGGTTCTGCTGCTGCCATGGCTACAGTTATTGCTTCTGCTTCTGCTCTGGCTACTGTTACTGCTTCTGCTGTTGTCCTGGCTTCTGTTATTGAATCTGCTGCTTCACTGGCTACGTTTATTGTTACTACTGCTGGTGCCCTGGCTACTGTTATTGCTTCTGCTGCAGCCCTGGCTTCTGTTATTGCTTCCGCTGCTGCATGTGCTACTGTTATTGCTTCCACTGCTTCCCTGGCCACTGTCATTGCTTCTGCTGCTGCCCTGGCTACTGTTATTACTTCTACTACTGCCTTGGCTACAGTTATCGTTTCTGCTGCTTCTCTGGCTACTGTTATTGCTTCCGCTGTTGCCCTGGCTACTGTTATTGCTTCTACTGATGCCATGGCTACTGTTATTGCTTCTGCTGATCACCTGGCTACTGTTATTGCTTCCGCTGCTGCCCTAGCAACTGTTATTGTTACTATTGCTGCTGCCGTGGCTACTGTTATTGCTTCTGCTGCGTCCCTGGCTACTGTTATTGCTTTCTCTGCTTCTCTGGCTACTATTATTTCTTCAGCTGCTGCCCTGGCTACTGGTTTTGCTTCTGCTTCTGCTCTGGATACTGTTATTGCTTCTGCTGTTGCCCTGGCTTCTGTTATTGCATCTTCTGCTGCACTGGCTACTGTTATTGCTTCCGCTGCTACCCTGGTTACTGTTATTGCTCCCGCTGCTGCCCTGGCTTATGTATTGATGTTCGTGGCTTTGGAGGGGTTGGTTGGGGCTGTCGAGGTCGTGGTTGAGAGGTTTGAGTTGGCCACTGGGGCCCAGGTTAACTGTGAGAAGTCCGGTCTTCTGGGTCTTGGTGGGTGGTCCTCTCGCCGTGTGTGGGTGGGGTCATGGTTTCCAGTTCTCGCTTCTATGTGGGTTTTGGGGCTTACCTGGTTCGCTTCCTATGAGCAGTCTTTGGCCTGGTCACGGGTCTGGTTCGTGGCTCGGTTCTTCCCCCTGGATCGCAAGCTGGCTTTCGGGTTGGAACTCCAGGTTTATCATTATGTGTGGTGCGGTCGTTACCACCCGGTTCGTCGGTCGACGTTGGTGTTGGCTGTGCGGGAGAGTGGGGTGGGCATTCCTTATGTGTTTACTAGGGCTCGGGCGCTGTTCTGGGTCTCGTTGTGTCAGGGGTTCGAGTTGGGTGGGGGGCTCAATGCTTTAGGTATTTATTATTGCTCTGTTCAGTTTAGCTTTTTGGTGAATTTTGGTGTTTGTCAGGAGGCGGCCTTCTGCACCCCTTCTGTTTACTCTTGGGCAGTGGCCATTTTTCGGGAGGTCTGCCGTTGTCCGGGTTTCATGTCCTTGTCGTTTAAGGCGGTGTATAGGGTTTTATTTCGTCGTGTTCCGCCGCGGGTGGAGGGTTTGTTCCCGTGTTGGGATTAGGGGGTGGTGTGGGTGGCGTTGGGGGCTCGGTTTCTGGCACCGCAACAGCGGGAATTGTTGTTTCGGTTCTTGCATTTGTCGTTGGCGACGAATGCGCGGTTGTGCATGCTGGGTTTGCGTGCCTCTGACGCGTGTGTGCACTGTGGCCTCCCTGAGACTCAGTTGCATGTCTTTTCTTTTTGTGAGCGGTTGAGGGGCTTGCTTGATTGGTTTCGGGACGTGTTGGTTGGGGTTTGTGGGCCGGGGTGTCGGGGTGGCCTTTTGAGGTTTTTGTTTTTGTCCTTTCTGCGGCGGTTGTGCCGGGTGCGCAATACGTTATGTCTTCTCGTTGCTGACTATGTGTATTGTGTGTGGGTGGGTCGGAGGGAGGGTTATGGGGTTGTTAGGCTTTCAGGATTTTTGAGAGGCCGTTTGTGTTTCACGTGGTGGTGGGTGCAGCGCGCGTTTCCGAGCAAGTTTTGTGGTTGGTTCACGGGTGGGTGTTTGCGTGGGTTTGTTTTTGGGTGTGTGGTCGTGGGTCGGGCTTTTGGTTGTGGGTTGGGGGGTGGGGCTTTTTCGTTTTTGTCTTCGGTCCCCGGCCCTCCGGTTGGCCTCCTTGGAGGGGGTTGGGCTGGGTGTGTGAGTGGTTGCTCCTGTGGTTGTGTGTTCGGTTTGTTGTGTGGAGGTGTGTGGGGGTGTGGGTATGCTTCTTTGCTGGCTCCTGCGTGGGCCGTTGTTTGTGCCCTGTGTGGGTTGGTGCAGCTGTTTTGTTGCTAAATTGATGTTCTTCCTAGTGTGAGTGTTTTTGTGGTGCGTGTGTCTCGGTGTTTTGCTGTTCGCCCCTGGTTCTTTCTTGGGGTTGTCAAGTTGTTGTACCTGGGCCTTGGCCGTAATTTGTTTTATGTTACTTATATGTTTTGTGTGCAGTGTGACTCTGCTTTGTGTTATTTATGTGATTGTGTGCGTCTTGTGTGAGTGCGTGTGTGTTGGTTTATTATGTGAACGTTATTTTGTGTCTTTCTATGTACATGTGTTTGTTGTGTGTCCATTTTTTTTGTTTAACTTTGTATTCAGCCTCATGTACCAGGAGTTTCTAGGTTCTCGTGATGTTTTGTTTTCTTCTGTACCTGTGATTTTATTATTATTATTATGTTTTGTTATGTTCTTGTCTTGTGTCTTGTGCTATACTTTGTATATTTCTTTTATAAAAAAAAAAATCATCTGCCTATCTGTGTGTTTATTTGGGGCAAGGTGCTTTAGTTTACACTGATAAGCGATATTCATTTTGCCATTAGGCTTCGCGAATAACCTTTCATGGGTCACATCGGAGCGCATATCTAATCCCACGATCGTCGTCGCCCCTAAATCAACAACAACAATTTTAAATTTAAATTTTGCCCCAAGGGGCGAGTTTATTGGGCAGCGCCACTCATCTTGTGATTAGACATACTGCCATCGCAGCATGTACAACACTCCCCAATAGGAAGAAAACCCGCTGGGTTGTTCATCCTGTCACTTGTACCCAGACACAGCTGGGACTTGCTTAACTGTCTCAAGTGAACAGCTCCTCAAACAAGAACATTAACATCTGTCAACCCTTAAAGGCTTACGCTATCTTGGGGGTACAAAATGGGGGAATCTTTTAGGAACATTATCAGTATTTGACAAACACTGTTTTCCTAACTCAAACAATGTGAGGTTTATTATTCTACACATATTTCTAATGTCTCTCAGGTGTTTGCATTCACATAGATAGTGATCAAAGCGGTGTCCGTCACTCTCACCATTCTGCAACTTTGCTGATCAACTGTTGTTTCCATTCCATATCTCCATGGATATTTGTATCCAAGACGGATTCTCGCTATTACTGATTCTCTCCCGCGTCCTCCTCCTCTTCGTCCATAATGATTGGGATTGCCAGCTGCAACCATGTTGTACCATCGTACAGATTCACTGGTTTGTGCTTCTATCCTCCTTTCCTCAGTTACCTTGTCACGGTGATGTTGCCTGACAATACCTATAATTTGTAGTAGAGTCTTTGGTATGAAGTATTCAATATGGTCTCCTTCAGCGCCTTCAGCAGCCAGCACATCTGCTCGTTATCCCAAATATTCCAACATGGGAGGGGATCCACATAAACTTGATGACTCATCCCTGATTGGTAAGTACTCCCACAGCTCTCTTAATTTCAGCGACTATTGCAAGATTCTCTGCCCGATTTTTACTTAGGCTTTGCAGTGCTGCTTTTGAATCCGTGCAAATCACTGCACCATTAGTGTTCTGTTCAAGAAACCTTAACGCCATAACAATGGCAGTGAGCTCTGCTTGCGTTGAAGAGGCATAGTTCTCAATACGCGCTTTTTCTTCATTTCTGCGCTGGAAAGCATTATCCTTAATTACCGTGTATGCCGCACCAGCCCTGCCATTGACAGGATTTGATGACCCATCAGTGTAGATTTGATCTAGTTCATCTCCGGCTTCTTTATAAATTTCATCGAGATACTTGTGTCTCATGTCTTGTGGTATCATGTTGGATTTTTTCGTTGCCATTTCATTGATGATAATCTTGGATGAGTCATCCTCCCAGGGCGGTAACGTCTCTACAGGCAGGAGCTCACGGGCTTGCTCAAGCAGGTGAAGTTCTTCGAGGTGGCAGACTGATCTGTGATGCCATTTTTTGCTTCTCCTGTTTTTCCCTGAAAGTAGCACAAAACTCAGTTTTTTCTTAGCAATGTCATTGTAATGGGGATCTCTGGCTATCCTAATTGCAAGCTTAGCATTCAGCTCCTTAATTCTCCTTTTAACACTGGGGAGGGACAACTTAACTCCTCTCGTAGATTGAACGTATTGGCAGTTCTTGGAACTCCAAGAATGATTGTCATGGCTTCATTCTGAATGCTTTCGAGCCTTTTCATATCGCTTTGGGAGTAGGTGCATAAGACTGGTGCGGCATAGTCTATGACGGAGCGCACATAGGCTGTGTACATCATTTTAAGCACGGCAATAGAGGCTCCATGTCCATTCCAGGTCATGGCCTTCAATGCCCTGAGTCGACTCTTGCATGTTCCTATGAGTTGGTTGAGCTCCTCTTTCTTTCCCTTGTTAGAGCCGACAGTGACGCTAAGGTACCGATAGTGGTCAGCCCATTCAAGTGTTAGACTATTAACTTGTAGTTCTTCATTTTCTCCCCGCTTGTGATGGGAGTATGCTTTTGTCTTGTTCGTAGAGAGAGTGAAATTGAGCTCAATACATTTCCTTCCGGGGAGTTCAATGGACTGTTTAATTTTTCCCAAGGTGGGAGCTTGTATTAGAATATCATCTGCATATCCCACTTGTTGTGTTCTCTTCGGAAAATCAATATTTGCAATGGCGTTCATAAGTACATTGAATAGTGTGGGGCTTAAAACTCCTCCTTGGGGGGTACCGAGTTCCATATTAATTGTTCTTGAGACTGCTCCATTGAAGCAGACCTTGGCTTTCTTCCCTGTGAGGTAGTCTTCAATCCATTTCATTAGTCTCCCCTTGACACCCATGCATGCAAGCTCGTCCAAGATCGCAATCCCATGTGCTTTGTCGAAAGCTCCTTTGATGTCGACAAATGCAGAGTACTTAGCTGTGTCATTAGCCAGGTAATTAACTATACAATTTGCTGTGCTCTGTCCTTGAAAAAATCCATTAACCCTCTCCTCTAGCTTGCCTATTTGGTGCAACAGTCGGTTTAGAATGATTTTTTCAAGCATCTTGTAAGTGCATGACATGAGACTGATAGGTCTGTAATTGCCAGGGTCATTGGGCTTCGGTATGCGGACAACAACAATGTATGATAATTTTACGTATTGGCATTTGACTGTTGAGGCAGAGACGATGTGAAGTCACACACAAACGCTTCCTTCATCATCGTTGGCCGTCAATCAGTACCGACACAAAATGTTTTTTACAAACATTTTGACACAAATTTTTTTTTAATAAAAATGGCATGCAAACATTTACATATGCGAATATAGTTGATATGTGTTTTTCGAATAATGGTATTAAAAACAAATTACACATCAGTATCAGAAATATGATGACCGAACGACACATCAGAATGTGAAAAAATGACGATTTGATATTTGATTGTTGCCGCCTAAGGCGTCTAGTTTATCGTTCACCCCATACTCATCCTGTAAGCGATAGCGCAAAACGTATTAAAGAGGGCACGAAAGATCTTTACCAGACCTCAACGGAGACTATTACATTAACAACTACATATCCTGCACGCCTTATAATTCTACTCTCAGATAATAACAGAGATTGTTTCATTTCAAAAGGTATGTAATTACAGTTAATCATTGTATATTAATGGTAGGCCTTTTCGCTAATACATAATTGTTTGAGCTATAGAAGTGTTACGGGGTCATAGGGAAGCACTTGGTTTGTTATTATTAGTCTTCACAATACACTACTTGC